ATGGGACATAAAACAACATACAATCAATTAATCAACTTTCTTGCTGCAGAAATTGATTCTGATGCTTGTCAATTTTTTGACATCGTTACGTTACTACATTACTGCGCTATGTCTTATTTGTTGTAAATCATTTATTATATAGTGAACATGTTGGAAATCTCCCAAATTACATGTGTACAGAAAAATTTACTCTCATGATATTGATCCTCAGCTGAATGAGTCTTAATTATCACACTTCACGGTGTAATCGCTGATCAATGACTGTCTTGTTTGTTTAGCACAGTTCGCTTTCTCTCACGAGAGGTGCATGCCAGTCATAGTATAATCACAATTAACGTACTACTCAAGTCATTAAAAAGTAGGTGTCAGTACTGAAATGCAGTAAAAATTTAATCATGGCAGCCACCGATTTTGACCATGGCACAGCTCGTTAAACTATGGCACATATAAATTTAACCATTGCATGGCATTTTTACAGAAATGTTTCTGGTCTTAAATTTTGAAAGCAGATCACTTTTTGATTCGCTTATAAATACATTTTTACCTTGAACCTTAAACCACATTTATATTTACTTCCTGTTGCTGAATATTATTTCAGGGGGTCCGTTATCAGCAAATCCCCTTAGATTATTCAAGGTTCATCTCTGTTCTTATACTTTTCCAGCATACTTCCCAAAACAATTTAATAAATTGATAGCCCATCTATTTTTTGACACAGTTTTTATTGCAGATTTTGATATGGAATATTTTTATACGCCCGTCTTTAGACGGGACATATTATGTTATGGCATTCATGTCCGTCTGTCTGTCCGCTTTTAGCTTGTTAGCTTTTTTCGTGTCCGGCTCATAACTTTAATACTATTAGGCCTAGGATTATCAAACTTTGTCAGCTGATACTTCTTGGGTAGAAGGTTTGTCACACATTTAAAGTAGGTCGCTCTGACCTTTAATTAAGATGCTATGGCCAAATATGGAAAAATCCTGTCTGGCTCATAACTAGAAAACTATTGGACTTAGAATCATCAAACTTGGCCAATTTATGCATCTTAGGTAGAAGGTATGTCTCGACCTATTTCAAGGTCACTGTGACCTTTAATTTAAGTGAAATTTAAAAAAAAACTGTCTTTTTACTATTAGATTACACAATCCCAAAAAATGCAAGAGTGTTGCAGTATCCGTATTAAAAAAATATTAAATCACGAAAATACTTATTTTTTCCATTATATACTTTACAGCAATCTATAACAAATGTAGAATTACAAGAGAAACTCCACCTCTCCCATGGGTGTAATTATCAAGCACTGGTCAAGGAGAATTTGATAACAGAAAATTGCATGTCAAATTAGAGAGAAATTAATGAGTTTAGAGTAAGGAGATAACTGGTAGAGCATCTCTGATCAAGCAGGTGTTATCTATATCTCTTGGGAACTGGGCAAAAAGAATCAGCTGTGTTGGATTAAATAGTTGGCTAGCCTAACTTTTAAAATGAATTTGGTGAAAAGTAATTAAAACTTATTTGATATTTTATAATAAATTAATTTGATATTGTATAATAAACTAATTTGATATTGTATAATATAATTAAAACTAATTATACTCGGGAGGGGGGTTGGTGATATTGGAATCAGCATGCCCGTTGTCTGTATGAATTGCAGCTTTAAACCAGTCTGACATTAAATCTAAAAAAATCAAGTATTTTAAAAAAATATTTTAATCATGGTAGATAGTTCCTACAAATCTAAGAGTAATGCAGGAATGCATCAAGATTACACAAGTTTTTTGTGTCTTTTTATAAATCTTTGTAACATATTAAAAAAATAAAAATCTTTGTTTTCAAATTTAGTTTCAGAATGACATAAATATGCATTTTTATTGCACTACAAAGCAGATAGTATGGATAGATCCATTCATCTGTAGGGAGTAATGAGTGGACATGCATCCAGTTAAAGATTAATTAATGAGTTCAGTGTAGGGAGGCTAGCTGTCTCAATAATTTCTGTTAGGATCTCTGCTTAACTTATCTGTATCCTTTGGAAATTAGACAGAAGAACTGCTTGTCAGTTTATAGCATATGTCATTTGATGGCCAGCCTTTTATTTTCAATATTAATTTGATATAGATTAAGTTGTTTAGACTAAATTGATATTGTTTAACATGATATTTTCTATTTAATTTTTAAAAATATCAACTAATTCAGAGCATCATGTCTCACAAATCTGAAAGCTGGGGGGAGGGGGGGGGGGGGGGACTGCAGATGGGCATTTGTCAAGCTCTAACACAATCAGTTGAGGATCTGTAATGTAATATTTGTTATAATTAATGCCTACACCACAGGAGATGTATAAACAAATATTATAAGGAATGGAAAAATCCTTGAAATCCTTGTATCAAGGTTGACATGATTTTCTTGCACTCTAAACTGTTTATGACAATTGAACCATATTTGATGGGTGTATCATGCTGTGGCGGGGCACTTTATTGAAGCAGGTTCCGCATAACACCGACAATCTTTTCATCTGTTTTAGCACTACCAGAAGTATTGTCCAAATGGAACTCCATAAGATTCCAACACTTTTCCTCAACAAATCATTATCTTATATGTATTTATGATAAATTTCCAACCTTTTATCAAAATTCTGTAGTTTTCTTCTGTTTTCAAGTCAAAAGTATTCAAAACACTATCTGAACCTCTCTCAATTTACTTTGGATTTAAGGGTCCTCCAAACACACCCAGCTTATGTTCTCATATTACTGAGCATTACTATTAACAAGCATATCAACTTTTAAAAACTGGCCAGGAGTTGAAATATAATTTATACTGATTTTTTATAAATTAAATTTCATGAGTTTTAAGATATTTTTCACATCAAGTAGCACAAAAATATTTATTTTCTCCTGGTATATATTATTAAGCCGTCAAAACAACCATATAAACATAATTTTATCAGTCAATATTTTTTTTCTAGAAATTAATAAAGGCTGTAAAAATAGATAAAACCCATTTTCTCTAAAATACATTAATGGAGAAAAAATTAGGGAAGACTCCTGATAGTATAGAAGAAACATTAATGAATCAAATTACAACAAAAATTGAAGTAAAATCAGATTTATTGATGTAGAAAATTTTTCTTCAAAATCTTTGGTATCAAAGGTTCTTTTTAGAGTAATCTTTCCTGTTGCCCAGGTTTCAAAAACTTTGGTTGACTAAAGTCTACGTATACGTCATCATACTCAAGTTACTCATTATTGGCTAGCTGCAATAATGTAGCCCTCTCCTTTTTTTTGGGGGGGGGGGGGGGGGGGAGAGGGTTAGGGTTAGGGTTAACCCTAACCCTCTCCAGAAAATATCAGATAAAAAAAAATGTCGGAGAGGGCTACATTATTGCAGCTAATTATTGGCATGTGATCTGGACAGATATAAATGAACAAAACTAGAAATGCAAACTATTTATCAATATTTATAAACACATTATGAGATAGGTATTATTGGAACACACAAATCAGTGTGCAAAAATATCAACTTTCACAAACGGACTTTGTTGACGATATTGCAATGGATTGATTAGTCTGAAAGTATAAAAAAAAACTTAACCATTTTCTAGAAGATATACCTGTTATTTATGAATTATTATGCTACAAAACTCACAAGTCTGCTGTTCTTTTATTGAAAAAATCGACACCCTTTTCTTTCGGTCATGCCATGATCATGCCATGTGTTCATTGTTCATGGTTATTGTGTTGCTTTTAGTTTACTGCAAACTTTTCCCTTGACAAAACTTCATCTTTAAAGCATTTGTAAGACTCTCTTACAGGCAGTGCCAGGCAAATCGTCAGTGCACAAACTATATAAAACCTGAAGTAAAAGTACTTTTCTACATCACAAGTCACGGGGTGTGCAGGACCCCTAAGGTAGTATGGGATACCTCCATATTATGATGTACTTCCGTTCGAAGTATTGTTTTGATTTGGTTAAATGCTATTAATCGAGTCAAAATTTGTATATGTACACTGTTTAAAAGAACTCTCTTAAATTCTAAAAATGATCATAATCTCTTAAGAAAGGTGCATATCCTGTCTGAAAAAAGCTTTAAAACGATGTGGATGAAAATTTGAAGGCAAACAAAGCCGCAAAAGCAAAGAAATATGTCACAAGTCCACGACAAAAATTGAAAGTTTCTCGCGAAGCCAAGGTACACAGAAGAAATACAGCATGATAATATCTAGATCACGCATATACATCAGGTATACTATTTATGTTATATTTTCCAATGTTTTTCAAAGTTCGGGCAGATTAAAAAAAAGACTGTTTGATTGGTTTTACTTTTGAAGCCAGTATCATTTATATAGATAAATATAGATTTTCTTGGCAGGCTTATATGATAAATATAGATTTTCTTGGCGGGCTTATTTTGCCCCATCAGGCTTATGTAAGCATGACAATTTATAGAAATGTTTGTAATGAAAGATGTAACAAAGACGAGATCAGTTATTAAACTGAGATGCACATTAATGCGGCATATATTACAGAGATTCCCTATTTTTAAAGTTGATTAAATTGATATATGTAAAGCCCGCCTATATAAGTGCAATAACTATATATAGCTACTTCAATTATATAACAGAAACCTGTTCACAAATGAGAGGCATGGATGATTATCCATCTGATAGAGAGACACTTTCTGAATCTGATTCTGATACAATATCTGCATTTGAATCTAACAATGAAAGTGATCTTCACTTGGATGGCAATGCTGATGAAACCATCCCAGGAATACCCCTTTTTGGAAGACACATAGTGGAGTTGCAGGTGTTTTAAATTAGGCCATCATCTGAAGAAAGGGTGCATCAGGTGTGGAGAGATACTGCAACTTTTATCATGTATTGGAGAAAGCAGATATGGTTTAGGTAATATGAAATAAGATAAAGTGTGACATATTCAATGTCATCATCATTAAGAGACATTAATTTCTCAAAATACTTGTAAAATATGTTTTTTTCTTGCAGTATACTTCACATCAAGTGTCTTGCTTGCCAAATATTAAATAGAATTCCAACTGGAAAAAGATGACAAAATGGAGTATGGGATGTAAACTCAAAACTGGGAGCTGGTAATTATTAAATAATATTGATATTTGTTGATGAATACAGATGTAACTGTATTTTAAGTATGAGGAATTTTATTTTAAGATAAGTACCTAATGTGTGATAACTTTTGAGGTGCGCTAGAAAACACTCTGATAGTTGAAAAAAAAAAAAAAACATGCCTATTCATGTCACATTAAATTATCTTTATTTGGTAATAATTGAAGTTTTAACATTTTCACCAGCTGTTTTATATACTGGAATTGGAGAAACAACAGTGAACAGATTTTTGGCAGCACTGAACTTGCCCAATATTGACCTTAAAACATTAAAGAAAAGAGAGAGAGAGACTGGTGTAGCATTTGAAGAAGTAGCGGAAATAACATGTCAGGAAGCAATTGAAAAAGAGAAAGACAGGTATTTGAAATATATTTGTTATCAAGAGAAATAAAAGAAATATCCGTCATTCATAACTAGATACAATGTATATTATTCATAAATATATATATATGTAGATATATTTATATATATATATATATATATATATATATATATATATATATATATATATATATATATATATATATATATATATTAGGGATGTCAGATCGGTCAATTTTTGATAATCGGTTACTCGGACGTTACTCGGTAAAAATGTAAAATTTATTAATACAAGTGTGTTAATTTTCTTGAGCCACGTTAAGCTCGGTCAAACCCCAAAGCTGTTTTTATCACGTTTATAAACGTATATAAATATAGATTCCAACGGAAATGATTTTGTGGTGCTAAAATTATTTATCAAATGAACACAAAAGACACAATTAATACATCAAAAATTACAATTGGTGTCCAGTTCTTGTTTAGAATCTATTTGATCAACGCAGAAGGAGGACAATCTGTTACGCAGGTTTGTGATGATTAAACTAGGGAAAGAGAAGGAAGGACGTTGTTGGGATCGCTAGTCTAATATTTTTTTTTTTCACATGATGGTCGTTTCCACGGTATACACTAAACCTACTACGCATACTGATTTTCAACATTTTTTTTCAATCTTTCGTTATTTCTAAATATTTCTTCAATTTTAAAGTGGGTAGCGGAATTTCTATGCATGTCCATTTTCGCTGCCGTATATAAACTTAATAAATTAAAAATGAAGATAATAGACCATACTTAAGCGATGTACAATGAAAACAATCATTGAAGCCATTCCAAAATTAAGGACAACAATAGGTGAGAACAGCTGTGTACCAGGTGATTGGTCAGTAATAATTGTATAAACACAGCCACAGGCGATAACGGGTGTTTACAGGTGTAGATGACGACACGTTATTTACCGTATGCATAATTAAGTTATTTTTTGATAAAATATTTACTTTGAAATAAGAAATATATATACTTTGAAATAAGAAAAATATATTTCCGAGTAACCGAGTACCATTTTTAGTATTCGATACTCGGACGTTCGATCGAATACCCGGTTAACCGGGTACTCGTTGACATCCCTAATATATATATGTTAGAGCTGCATAGTTTTTCCAAATTTGGATTATGTTTTATGTTTATTTAAAGTAATAATTTGGCATGATATTATGTATTTCCATTTGTCATTTGTAGCTGTAAAGAACAAGAAACCGTTTCATAGGATGCAGGTTGGCAAACAAAGGGAAGTGGAAGAAACTATGCCAGCTTATCAAGTTGCGTGAGGTCTAATGTTTTTGACCCGTCCATCATCAGTCAGTCAGTCAGTGTGTCAGTCAGTCAGTCAGTGTGTCAGTCAGTCAGTCCGTCAGTCCTGTTTTTTTGTCAGCGCAACTCCTCATAAACCACTGCACAGAATTTGGTCAAACTTTGCAGATATTTAGGACACAATGTGTAGATGTGCATATTACCAGGAAATTCCGATTCCTTTATTTTTATGGGAATTTCGGCACTTTTCAACTTAGATTTTTGGCCATACCTTGAATACAGAGGTGAACAGTTTGTCAATGCAACTCCTCTTAAACCGCTGCACAGAATTTGGTCAAACTTTGCAGATATTTAGTACACAGTGTGTAGATGTGCATATTACCAGGAAATTTGGATTCCCTTATTTTGGCTGTAAGAGTTTTGCCTGTTATTGAAGAAACTGAAATTTTATGTGAAATACTTTATGACCTTAAAAGACCCCTATTGATTTTGAGATCAAAATATTAATGATTAAACACACACACACAAAATCTTGGATAGTTCAAACCCCCCCCCCCCCCCCCCCAAATTGGTGCTTTGCCTTAAAAAATTTCATAAGTACAGTATATAAACAAATTCATATGACTACATCATAATTTTGTTTCCATCTATTATTTAAATGTGTAAATTGTCATGTGTTGGACATGGACTTACACTCATTAACAAATTGAAATCACTGAGGAATTTAAATAACAGTTTGTCAGCATAACTCCTGCACTGAATTTCCTGAAACTTTGTAGGTATTTCAGACATAATGTATAGATTTGTATATTACCAAGAAATTTTGATTCCATTATTTATCTAGAAACTTCAGCCCAGTTAAATTTGTAACATACAAAGATTTGAATGTTCTTATATGCAAGAAGCTTTGTTGTGATGATTTCTTGCAAGTAATGCCCCTTTTTGAATTATACTGTGTATTTAAAATGCACTGTGCCATTCATTAAGTGTTGCATTGTCGAGTTTTTGGGGAGCGTGGGGTATGTGAGCTTGCTCACTTTTTCTTTCATTATGATGAGTAAGGGTGCCTCTTCCAAAATTGTGAATTTGATGTCCCCTGGGTGAAGGTTCTGGTGTTAGGGCAGGGCTCAGGGCAAAGTTGATACATGATACTCAGGTGACCTATAAGGTCCGTGGGCCTCTTGTTTTTCATGTTAAAATTTTAAATGTACTTTAATTATATTTTTATATGATATAAATCAATCCAATACATGCTTTAGAAACTGTGTCAGGAAACAATTTAATGACATATTTAGACGTATTTACTGTAAACTGAGGAATTGAGGAAATTCGGATTACAAAAAAATGACGATTGGTTTTAGGAATACAAATCATGCAAAATGGATCAGATAAAGGAGATTTATGAACAATAGAGCATTGAAGATTAAGTTTTTCAGTGGCTGGGAATTTTGAAGCCATAATTTGGGGAAATTCATGGTGATTTTTCCTCAGACCTCACATGAAAAGTTGTATTGAGTAAAACGGCCTTGTTTACTCTATAGACAAATCAGTCTTGAAATATTCACCTTGCTATAGACCATACACATTTTCTATAGATTTTGTCTATCGGTCTACGGTTAACTTCGCACACTGCATATATAGTGAAGTTCCTTTATTCTGTATATTGTGGTGTACCAAAATACTGATAAATCAATGCATGGCTCATTTTAATCAGATTCAACAAATAAGGAAATTTTTTAAGAGTTATGAAACCAAGATATAAGATTATTTTACAATTATGCAACAAATTTTTTATTTGTAAATGCAGTCATAGCACAACTTTTCTTTTAATTGAAGGACATGGAAGGATCTTGCATATGCAGTCCGATGCAAGAAATGTAAACAGTGTGACCAAGATCTTAGCAATGACAACAACAACAACCATGGTTGTAGGAAGAATTGGGCGGGATCACCAAAGTCCATGGAGCCTGACATGGCTGTAGAAATGTTACGTAATTTGAAAGAAAAGGGGTTTCATGTGAAAAACTTGGTCATGGATAATGACACTACAACAATTTCCAAGGCATGCTCATCTTTCGATCCCAATACATGTATTAATAAATTTTCAGACTTTAACCACACAAAAAAGAACTTCACCAGTAAACTGTATCAACTCAAGAAAGAAAAGAAATATGCCTTACTGGGTACTAAATCTATCAAACATTTACGAAATTGTTTTGCATAATTATGTTGTTAAATCTAAGACAGATCCTGTAAAGAAGATGGGTGAACATGACGAGTAAAAAGCCTATAGTTTTAATGAACCCTAGCAAAAACATCCTGTGTATCATTTCTTTCGAGATTAGCATGCTAACCACTAGACTACACAAGTCCTGATGAATATAGTGGCATTTAAATCATGTTTGTGATATGACCCTTGACTTAATGGACTTCAAGTATTTCTTGAAAAGATGGGAATGTTGTGTCATAGAAGTATATCTTCAAGGCATAGTGGGTCTTTGCTCTATATTTTTGGAAACCCAAAAATGTATATTTTTATGCAAACTTTAAAGGATTAACTTTCAAAAAATGGAGTGAAGACCCACTCATATTGAAAAATCGTGTTATAGAATGATTAAGAAAATGGCTCTTTTTGCCCTCTTTAGTGTGTGTATAATTTTTCATAAGCAAATAATTTCAATCTTTGTGAGATTTTTGTAAATTGTAGAGATTTTACATAAAGTATATTGTAATGTTAGATGAAATATCAAGGAAAATTTTGATATAATTGAGATTTAATTTTTTACCTTCATGTTTGTCACACTATAGGCTTTTCGCTCATCATGTTCACCCATCTTCTTTCTGAAATTACACCCAGGGTATTTCTACCCTTGGTAGTTAAAGAAGGAAAACTCTTCTATTAGGATCTTTTAATTAAAAAAAAAATTAAATACATCTGATAATTTTCATTTGCATATATTTTTTCAATTTGTGTATTACAATTTGTTAACATATATATGCACATTCTTATTGTAGATTACCTTGGAATATTATCCGTCTGTTTTCAAGAAATGAAATTTTTCCAGTTTTATGCCTATTTTTTTGTTACAAATAAAAAAAAAATTATGACCCTTATTTTTTGTCTTTGTTTTTATATCAACACTATATGAGTCAAATCTGGCCTATAATATTAGGCTTTGGAAAAAAAAAGATTTATATTTAAAAAGATTATTTTAGTGTTTTTCATTAGAAATAATAAAAAAATCAATTAAAATTAAATTTTAACATATTGAAAGGTTAGGGTATTTCAAATCTTAGTAATTTATGCAAATAAATATGTTACACAGTAGGAGAAAGTTCATCTGGTATCCCATACCACCTTAAAAATATTCTTTGTCTGATTTCATGACTGTTCAGTACAATGGAAAGGTTTGAAATGACATTAGCACATCGCAGTTTCATGATCAACTAGTCCATGAATAAAAGGGGTGTTCAATTGGGCTATTGTATTGTGTCACTGTTGGATACCTAAATGGGCTAGATCCTATTGTATTACAGCAAAGTTGGATATATGAATGGGTAGATGTTTCTTTGGGGTCCAAAGTGGGGAATTTTTTAAGTAAGATAAATAACTCAATAGTGTTGAATAGTTAAGTCCCTGAAACGTTCTACTTTCCTACTTGAACGGTGAGCGAACACTGAACGAACGGTGAATGGACGCAGAGCGAACGGTGAGTGAACGATGTGTGAATGCTGAACGCAACTTGGTGAACGGTGAGCGAACGCAGAACGCGAATGGAGCGCGAACGCAAAGTGAACGGTGAACGAACGATGAACGCAAGATGAATGATATATTCAGAATGCCTCTGATCTTTTCCTTGCATTGAAACTATTTTATTTTATTATAATGTCAGGTGCCAAAAAAAAAAAAATAAATAAATAAATAATAAATAAGTAAACCAATAAATGAATGAATAAATAAGTCGATAAAATAAATTCTCCAAAATTGTCTTAAGAAAGACGATACATGTACATTAAGTTTTTAATCACACGATTTTTATCGCATTAAAACATTGCAATTGTTGCCGAATGCTGAAATTTAAACAAATCAGAGAAAACTTCCGACTTATAGAATGAATTAAAGCGAATGTAACATCCATTCTTAATCTCCATGTCAGGGCGATTTCGTGTAAAGTAATGAAAAAAATTAATTATAAAGGTCAGTGGACGTTTTGCATTTATACGCTCGTATTTATAATTTAAAATGCAATAATATATTATGTGTCATTTCTATTTTTCATTGAGCAGACTTCTACATGCATATGTAGATGGCCGTGGTTATACTCGGACAAGATAATACAAAGATACATATTCATATTATTTGTTATAAATTCAATTTTCAGAACTTGATATTTAAGTAATATGCTGTTATAGTTTTTATTAAACAGACAAATGAGAGAGAGAGAGAGAGATTTCATTTTAGTCCCCCCCCCCCTCCTTTCAGGCTTCACTAAATGTTTGTACCTATATCAAACAAAAACTCTGAAATATTTTTCTAAATATATCAGACAGTGAAAGTAACTTTTTTTTTATCAACAAATCATATCCATTTGTTTAACAGTCACACTTGTTTTTATTTTCCTGCTTCAAGTTCACATGAAGTCCACGTGCTTGTCCTGTCAATCAAAATCATTCGACACTGTGCAGGTGTGAAACCTTCGTCACATCAAAGACGAAGTGCGAGTATTTCCAACAAGTTATAACATTTATTTTTATCATTTCTAGATTTGATCCCAACATTTGAATAATAAATGAATAAAATACATTGGGCATTAACACTTGAATTTGAAACATACTCCCTGCCAATTTTAAATACCACCGCCGACACGTGTACATTTTGAACTACTATTGTTTTGTGACTTTTTTAGATGCATGTTTGTTTTGAGACTGAAATTTTTGTTCTAAAAAAGACCTTAACTTTTTTTAAAAAATGTTAATTAAAATATTCTGGAAATACAGTACCTAAGTAACCAATCTAGGGGGAAAAGGGGAGGGGGGGGGGTATTAATCATATCGAATGGCAAACATATAAAGTTACGGTGAAAAAAGATTTTTTTCTCTCTATAACTATAGACTTTACATATTATAGTAGAGAAATTTCTGTAGTGCAGTACATTTCAAATAAATATTTCCTTTATCACACTATCAATTTAATTCGCTCCAAAGATAATAAATTAACAGGATATCCGCAGTACTATGTATAACTCTCAGAACTAGTTCTATCATATTTTCTGTAGTAATTGAAAAAAAAAGTGTTAGAAATAAATATTTTTGTAATTTTGCTGCGTAATTATTTGACTTGGATAATTATATCACCATTAACGATTTGTCGTCTTTAACAAAACAACAAAATGTTGCAGTGCTTGAAGTATTTGCACATTGCCCTTAGTTAAATTTAATATTTAAGCATCGTTCTACATAGGTACAGAATGTGCTTATAACAACATTTATTTTCCAGAGTAATTTAATAAATAACCTAACAGCTAAGTTAGAATAATAAAGATATATATCGTAGATATTTTTCAACATGAAATAATGATTCTTCAAACATGATATGTTAGTTATTAAATTAAAAAACCTGTAACTCCTTCCCTACAAAAAGATAAGTCCTTTCACTTCGGAGTTCCGAATGACAATGAAAAGTGAACGATAGGTGAACGCTATAGTCGGTAGTATGGAAAGAAAATACAACAGCCCTTTAATTACTGGTAAGAATTATATGCAGTGGAAATATTGCCACACAGGAAGTTTCATTAAAAGGGAACTCATTAAAAAAATATACAAACTTTCCAGACTTATCTTTCCTGTAGTAGACGAGTGAATACACGAAATCCCATTGCCATGAGCCTGTAAAATCTATGTAATCCATGAAAATCAGACCTCACAAATTTTAATGATTCTTGTTTATATTTCAGACTATGAAACTATTTGGGTGAATTGAGTTAGCTTTGTTAATACTAATCAATTGTACACCTTTCAGATGATATTAATAGATTCACTCTTTCATATATGGCAAATTGCATATGGATGCTTTACATAATGTCAAAACTATTCAGATAACTTTTAAAGCTTTTTTTTTATTCTATGATGTCATTATTTTTTAACCAATTTTTAGGACCTTACTATGATGATACTCTGTAACTAGCGAGACTGAACTTTTCAAAAAGAAGTATTAAATGAATGACCTTACTTTTTACATATTAGTAGAAAATAAGGAGAGGCATAATAAAGTGTATTATGTAGCTTCTAGCTTCCTTCAAGGGGCATAGACACAGATTTGAAATTAATATTTTCTCAGATTTTCTGTATAATATCATGACTTACATGTTGCTATAGTATTTCACATGGAAATAATAAAAAACTTATTTTATCTGGAAATGATTGAAACTACAAATTTCGGGAAGCATTTGATTAACACATCCTTGCACTTTCACAAAGTTAAACTTAATACTGTGCAAATTGAACACACCCGATTAAACGTAAACATTAACAATAACAGAGCGTTTGCCCCGTTTACAAAACAGTTTACATTTCACCAGGTGCCAAACTTGCCATAAAGCATTGTTCAGAGGAAGTGCCAGGCCCTCTTTCAGGGGGAGATAATTAAGAATTCGTGAAAAAATTTGGTGGCATCATTTAAAAATCTTCTTCTCTAGAACCACTGGGCAAGAAAAGATAAAACTTATGTGAAGGCTTCATTATATACTCTAGATTCAAGTTTGTTCATATCATGACCCCAGGGTAGGGCTGCAAGAGAGGGTTTAAGTTTTACATAGGAATATATAGGAAATGTCTTTAAAAATCTTCTTTAGAACAGCAAAGCCATGAGTAGTCATATTTTAATAGAAGTATCCTCAGGTAGTGTAGATTCAGATTTGTTTCAATCATAACCCCTGGGGATAGGGTGGGGCCACAATGAGAGATCAAAGTTTACCATAGGAAATGACCTGACAACCCTTGGAATGGACTAGCCAAACCAAAGGGTATATAAGGCAAAGCTTAGAAGCAAGCTGAAGAAGTATGTTGAATCAGCAATAAAGAAGTTAAGGTATTCCATCCCTATTAGCAACAGAATCAATGAAATTGAATACATTACAGATGTGTAGGTGTTGAATACTCAGTATATTTAGACAGAATTCCCATTTATTACATTAGCATATAAGGGTGGGATGTGTCTTAATTTATGACCTTGAATATTGGTAAGAATTATCTCCCTCTGTTTTTAATTAATAAAAAAAATCAATTTTAAAAAAACTGATCTGGTGAAAAAAAGAAATTGTTTTCAATTGTACTATTTCTAATGTTTTAATGCATCTTTCCACCACAGTATTTATTAATATGCTTATTATTTGAATTTTTAAATTTTAAAAAATTGATTGTCCCTATAGACTTCAATGCAATCTTTGTTAATTAATTAATGCTTAGTTAATTACATTTTTTAAACTTTCTCTTAGTGAAGCCTTTTCTACTGTAAAATGCATTTACATAGGAAATATATTTAAAATCTTCTTCTCAAAAACAACTGAGCCATTATTAGTCATATTTATTCAGAGGCAACCTTACCTTCACAGTAGCTCAGTCGGTAGAGCACGCTCTGTGATCGGAAGGTCGTGTTTTCGAATCACGGCCACGACTGATTGATTGTATGTTGTTTTATGTCCTGTTAGAGAATTTTACACTCATACAGAGACTTCACCATATACCAGTGAAGGGCTTAAAATTTAGACCTTTACTTGGCACTCAGGGCCATTGAGCAGTGAGGAATCTATATCATGCCAACGCCTCCATGACACGGGCCTTGGTTTTTAAGGTCTCATCCCAAGGACCAACAACTTTCACTTCAAAGTGCCGAGTGCTTGGCGAAAGGAACAGTTGCTACCTATTTTTTATTGACATAGGTCAATCCCGCTGGTGCTAGAACCCATGACCTTCTGATCACAGAGCAATCGCTCTACAGAATGAGCTACCATGACAGTGAAAAACATAGGAAAAAAATCTTTATAATTCTTCTATTTAAAGACCCAATTTTTTACTGTACAGTTACCTGAGGAGGGGGAGTGGTCTTGGTAGTACTGGTGTTATTTACTCAAGATGTCAAAAATCCCTATACATGCTGCATTACACAGGAAGTCCGGCTTTTGGTAATTAGGGTCAACATTACACATTTTGTGCATAATTTTGAGTGAAAATATTTAAAATGTATTATGTACTGATATATAAAATTTGTAGACTTAGCATTTTTGTTGATATCTTTTGAAGAAAAAAAATTTTAAAAGACGTATCTTTTTTTAAAAATCGTAAAATTAAAAAAAAAAAAGGATGAAAACTACATGAAAGATATCAATATTTTAATCGCCAATAAAAGAAATTATTATAAAATATTAAGTTTATATTGAATATTGAAATAACAAGATTTCACTTATTGTGTGGACATTTACCAAGATCGGAATATTACTTACTTTTCCGGCGAACAATGGTGTCCAAATATTCGCCATTTCTGAGGGTCTTATGCCCTGTGTACAGATTTGGATAGAAAAAGAATCTTTCGTAATTCATGGTGTTAGATACAAGATACTTTATTTACAGTGTATATTAGAATAAATATCTTTTCTTATTTAATCCATTGCATTTTGTTATAATTTTCAATGGTGGGGGAGGGGGTAGATCGTTTTCAATTACTCTCAGTCAATGAAGGAAGAGAGGGCTTGAATATCCGCTAATTATTCTTCGAAAAGTTCTACAGTTATCTTGGATGTCATAACAAGTACAAAACAGCAGTTGAGATTGAAAAAAAAAAATCACGAAGTCATTGTTTACATGTAATTATCTACTCTCAATTATTTTTTAAAAATAAAATTATCAACCAATATAACAGCGACAGGATTTTTTTTGACCAGAGTGTATACAAAGCGACCATTCACATGGTACATGAAAGCGTTTGACGCGTGACCAGGTAATTGTTTTCAAAACATGCAAACTCAGATTATCAGGTAGCCTACGTAGCTGGCCCGTCAATCAAATCAGAAGCTATTGTTTTTTATGATTGACAGGCGGGGTATTATTGATCTTGAATTAGGTAGATTTTGGGGGCATAACATAAAATTGGGTGTTTAAGAACAGCAAAGTCTTGATTATTAATATTGATATGGAAGCATCCTGAGGTAGTGTAAATTAAAGTCCCCCCCCCCCCCAACCCCCTCCCCCCCAACCCCGTTTAATACTGAACTGATTTCTGCTTCTTCCTAGCCAATGAGCTCAGGTGAGTGATGTGGCCCATGGGCCTCTTGTCTTAAGTATTAAGGATAAAGTTAACTTTGTGAAAGTGCAAGGATGTGTCAATCAAATGCATCCTGAAATTCGTAGTTTCAATAACTTACAGATAAAGTAAGTTTTTTTTTAATTATATTTCTGTGTGAAATGCTATAGCAACATATAAGTCATGATATAATACAGAAAAAATTGAGAAAATATTAACTTCAGATCTGTGTCTATGTCCCTTTCAGTTGAGGTAATTTTTTTTAGGTATAACACTCTACAGCAGCTTGTGTGTATTCTTTGTAACACAGTAATAAAAACAAATATTTTGTGGAATGCCCATATACAAGGGAGACAGCATAAAGAGGTTAGTTTAATTTCATTATTTATGTATTAAAAATTTTCTTTCTTAATTTATACCTGAGTGTCTCTGGTGACCTATTGCTAGCTGTTTTCTTCCATAGTTGAGCATCATTCCTTGTGTGTCTTGTGTTAACATTGAACATTTTCAGCTTCTTTTCTGAAATAACTGAGGGAATTTTAACCAATTTTGGCATATAGCATCTATGGGTGAAAGGGAACAAAATTCTGAATTTCATGGGACCTTGGACCTGAGGGGTAGAGCTAATAAATAAATGCAATCTTTAAAAGTCATCTTCTTTACTCCTGCACATCAAGCAGTCAAACTGTTGGCATGATTGTAGTAATTATTGAGTCCTCTATCAGATAGGGTTTGAAAGGTGTTTACGGTAAAGGTGTACTGAGTATTTCCAGTCTCCGTTTATAACGTACACCGGTTATAATGTAGGATTTATCACAGTCCCCAGAGATACGTTATAAAAGATGTTTACTGTATATACCCAAAACCCTACATTTTTTTAAGGCAATTTTCATATTTTTTCCGGAATTTTCCCTATTTTCCTTCATTGGCTCTGGTATTAAATGTAGTTTCTGCAGTGGCGGCCTCCTTGCAAAATAGCTGGCCAGGTAACATGCCTTTGGGGGTAAGGGGAAAGATAACACGAGAAACATCATTTGACTGTATTGATTATGCAAGAGTTAGCCCTATGTGTAAGGTAGATTAACTTGTAAATTATTAAATAATTTATATCAGGATCATTTCATTTAAACTGGAAGTCAGAAAAACGCAGTTGATGAAGAAAAGTGAAAAAAAAGACTGCTGATTTTACCTGAATTAAATAATTCTCATAAATATTAATGATTCTATGTTACCTTGCAGTAGTATGTGGTTTATTTTGATTTAAAGATTACTGTAGAAAGTACAGGTGTCACTTTTACCAGTACTCTGTGTCCATTTTCAAGTTTATCGTTCTAAATTTATTATTAAATAAAATAAGAATTACTCTGGATAAAAGTCATTAATTTCATTTATAAACATGATTTAAAAAAGGATGTTTTTACCAAAAAAAGTACTGTGTTTTTATTATTTTTTATACAAAAAGATTTGTTTCATATTCATAAATAGGGTGCCCCCTACCAATGTTAAACTATGTATATTATCACACCACATCTAAATGCTACTTGCAAAGCAGTGATAGTATTATTTAGAAAAATTTAGAAAATTGTTTGTAAAAAAAAGAAAAAAAAAACCCTAGCTTCCTACCCTAATTTTTAGCTCTTCCGAGCCAAAGGCTCAAAGAGCTAATGCTATGGCCATTTGTGCGGTGTGCGTAAACTTTTTAGAATATGGGCCATAACTCAAGATCCCCTTGGCCAATTATTGTCAAATTTGTCACAGGGTATCCTTGGCCCAAGGGCTCCTGTTTATACCAAAACTAGGGTTCAGTGACCCTTAAACAAGGGGAGGTAATTAGGTAAATAAAACCAAAAGTACTGGTTGCTAAAAAATCTTCTTCTCAAGAACCACTGGGCAGATTATCACCAAACTTACACAAAAGGATGAGGATGTTGAAGATTAAAAATTGTTCAAGGCATCACCCTGGGGCAAAGGGTGTGGACCAATCTAATTAAAATTAGATGGTTCGAATCCGCTACCACTTCTCAAACATCTAACAACATCCCATTAGGGGTCACGTCAGAGCGACCTTTCGATAATGAATAATCATAAAAATTTTGGCCAATCAGATTCAACCCTCTGTATACAATTTTAAAATTAGTTCCAGGGCTACATCTTTACATTATTGATGCTCAGTAGACTGTCTTACGTTGAATTAAAGTGATTTCGGTATAAATTGAGCGTATAGTCCGCCATTCTGGCATTCTTACCTAAATAATGCAAACAAAAATGCACAAACTACATGTATACATCTATATATCCCGCACGTCACATATATATATATAGCACGGTCTTTACCATTCATATTTTGTTTACTACGAAACCCCTCGGGTGTTTAGGTTTGGCAGTAAAAAAAGAAACGCATCCGAACTATAAGCCAAGATTTCAGAGATGGCGATTTCATTGGGTAATCAAAAGGTCGCTCTGACGTGACCCCGAATGGGATGTTGTGAGATGTTTGAGAAGCGGTAGCGGATTTGGAACATCTAATTTTAATTAGATTGGGTGTGGACTTACTTACCTGCTTTTTAAATTTTGTGGGCATTCATTATCAAAATGATTTAGAGGCATATTTTGAACAATTTAAGGTCTATGATCATCAAACTTTGTTAGTGATTGCATCTTGGATCCTCGGAGTATGTCAATAAAAAAGTAGGTCACCTTGACTTACTTTTTGAATTTTATGGCTAATCTTTTTCAAAACATTTAAGGTCATTAATTCAAATACTGAGAGGTTTAGAATCATTAAATCTTGTAAGATGATGCATCTTGGGGCCAGAAAACATATTTATTAAGAAGAGGCCCAGGGGCCACATTGCTCACCTGAGCACTGTGGCCAAGAAAAAAGGAAAAATCAGTTGAGTATTGAAAAGCTTAAATGCATAAATGGTTCCAACCTACCCCTAAAAGGAAGGGGGGGGGGGTTATGATTTGAACAAAATTAAATCTACACTAACTAAGGATGCATACATAATTTTTTGACTAACTGTGACTTTTTTCTCTACAAGTCTGAACTTTCATTGTGGCCCCACCCTACCCCTGGGGGTCATGATTTGAACAAACACATCTGAGGATGCTTCCTTATAAATATGACAAACCGTGGCTTTGCTGTTCTTGAGAAGATTTTTAAAGATTTTTCCTATATATTCCTATGTAAAAATTGGAACATTCATTGTGGCCCCACCCTACCCCGGGGGTCATGATTTGAACAAACTTGAATCTACACCACCTGAGGATGCTTTCACATAATATGACCAATCATAGCTTTGCTGTTCTTGAGAAGAAGATTTTTTGAAAATTTTTCCTATGTACACCCATGTTAAACTTTGATTGTCCATTGTGGCCCCACTGTACCCCCAGGAGGTCATGATTTGAAAAAATTTGAATCTACACCACCTGAGGATGCTTCCAAATAAATATGACAAATCATGGCTTTGCTGTTCTTGAGAAGAAGATTTTTGAAGATTTTACCTATATACTCCATGAAAACTTTGATTGTCCATTGTGGCCCCACCGTACCCCCAGGGGGTCATGATTTGAACAAATTTGAATCTACACCATCTGCAGATGCTTCCATATTAATTTAACCAATCATGGCTTTGCTGTTCTTGAGAAGAAGATTTTTGAAGATTTTTCCCATATATTCCTATGTAAAATTTTGATCGTCCATTGTGGCCCCACCCTACCCCCGGGGGTCATGATTTGAACAAACTTGAATCTACACTACCTGACAATAATTCCACATGAGTTTCATCTTTCCTGGCCCATTGGTTCTTGAGAAGAAGACTTTTCAATAATGCCATTAATTTTTTGCCATTTCGTAATTATCTTCCCTTTGAGGAGGAGGTGGCCCTTCATTTGAACAAACTTGAATCCCCATTACCCAAGGATACTTTGTGCCAAGTTTGATTGAAATTGGCCCAGTAGTTCTGGAGAAGAAGATGAAAATGTGAAAAGTTTACAACAACAATGACGATGACAACGACTGACAACGAAAAAATTTTGATCAGAAAAGCTCTTTGGCTCAGAAAAATTTTGATCAGAAAAGCTCTTTGGCACAGGTGAGCTAAAAAGTGAGTCAAATGACCTACTTTTTGAACTTTGCATGCATTCAAGTTCAACGCGTTTTAGGGGACACTGGTATATTTTGGACATTTTAAGGCCTATGATATAAAACTTTGTGAGTTGCTGCATCTTGGGTCCTTGAATAAAATCAACTGAAAACTAGGTCATTGTGACCTACTTTTCAATTTATATGGCTATATTTAAATATTTTAGGTACTATTTGGTTTAAAATCATCAAACTTTGTCAGTTGATGTATCTTGGGTCCTCAAGTAGGTCGACTTAAAAGTAGGTCACTCTGACCTACTTTTCATTTTATATGGCTATAATTGAATATTTCAGATGCTAATTGGCTTAGAATCATCAAACTTTGTCAGTTGATGCAACTTTGGTCCTAGGAGTGAGTTGACTTTAAAGTAGGTCATAGTGACCTACTTTTTAAATTTTGTGGCTATATTTAAAAAATTTTGGGTACTATTTGGCTTAGAATCATCAAACTTTGTCAGTTGATGCATCTTGGGTCCTTGGAATATGTCTACTGAAGAGTAGGTCACCATGACCTACTTTTCAATTTATGTGGCTATAATTTAACTTTAGTGGCGCTATATAAAATACACAGTGTTAGTGGTCTGAGCTGAATGTTTTTGCCTGCGTTGGGGTGCATTTGCTTAAGCAATTTAATTCAGATTTTATTGAAAAAATAAAGACATATTATACCTCAAAATGTTTAGCAGAGATAGGACTTCAATATTTTGATAGCCAGTTTTCATTCTTCGTGTAAAAAAGGTAATTTACAGGTAAAGCAAATATATTATAAAAAACACAACTTTTTGTTCATGGGACTAAACTTTTATTCATATTTATTCACTAAGATGCTTACTGACGGTAATACAAATAATTTTTAATACAGGGACATAGTTTTGGTACAACTTTTCAACGTTTGTGTTATAAGTCACATCATAAGATATACCTTCCTCAAAAGTTGGTGTCCGCCATTGTTGATTTTACCTTGATGTGGAATCTCGACATTTGCCGTATTTCTCTTTTTATCTGGCTTCTTTAAACTATTGTTTTCGTTAGTCATGATATGATTGTCTTTATTTCTGTTGAGTTTATGTGAAATAAAATACTTAGGATCGTTTTTAACTTGGACATATCAAAGTCTACATCCATGAATCCATCTTGGCATGGGCCAATCGCCGTCTAGCAAATTTCACATTTAAAACATGTTTAGCATATAATCTTCTTCTGAGAAAATGTTGAAAAC